GGTGTGTGTGTGTGCGTGTGTCTATAGGGGTGTGTGTCTGACCATGTGGGTGTGTGTGTAGGTACATGCAGGTATATTCTTTTTTTCTTTTATTTGTTCATGCCATGTGGACATTTAGCTTGGTCAACATTTATTGCCCATGCCGATTTGCTGAAGAGGCCAGTTAAAAGCAAATCACATTATTATGGGTCTGGAGTCACATGTAGGTCAGGTTTCCTTCCCTGAAGGATATTTTTTGTGTGGGGGTGGGGGTGTGTGTGTGTGTGTGTGTATGTATTGGAGGGCGAGAGGGACAGAGAGACTGCCTGAGTGTGTGTGTGTGTGTGTGTGTGTGTGTGTGTGGCAGGGCAAGAGGGACAGAGAGACTGCCTGTGTGTGTGGGAGAGAGGGACAACGAAACTGCCTGGGTGTGTGTGTGTGCGCGAGCGCATGAATATATGTGTGCATATTTCTGTGTATGTGTAAAAGTTCGTTATACTTATCCTTTTGTACTGTGTGCGTGTGTGTGTGTGTGCATTATCTGTATGTCTGTGTGTGCGGATATCTCTAAGAAACTAGTAGATGGTGAAATTGACTTAGGCATTTTGGAGCATGGTTTTATGTTACAAAGTTGTGAACAGCAGTCTTTATGTTTCTGGAACTGAGAGTTACGACTGGTGTCCTGTCCTGTACAACAATCTGCATAGGAACAGGACGAGGGCTTTCAGCTCCTCAAGAACTGTATAGTAGATTGTAGCTGATCTCAACCTGATGCTATCCTTTCTGATGGTTTTAACCCAAACTCCATGGTCTCGCAACAAGCTCCAGTGAGCCTTTGGACAACACTGGGTAAAGACTCGGGGCGTTTCGATATCCTTAAACACTTCCATAAGCAAAAGGCTGTCTGCCTCAGGCTTGAATATACTGAACCACAGAGCGTCTGTGATCCTCAGGGCCAGAGAACTCCAAAGGTTCGCAACCCTCTGAGTGAAGAAATCTCTACTCACCTCAACCCTGGATGGCCTTCTCCAGTGGGAGAGCCTTTCTTTGACTCTGTAAGATGGACCGAAGGGCCTTTTTTTCTGAGCTGGAGGCAGCCGGTTCCTTATTCTGAGCCTGTCTCCCCGAGTTCCCAGTTCGCCAGTCGAGCCAGGCACTTCTTTGGCACTTTCAAAATCTTTTGACTATAGCAAACGTTTTATGAACTGGTGCCTATGGGACCAGGAGTGTGTCAGTAGGTCAAATATTCTGGATAATCAGGAGATCCACATAATCAGTGTAAGAACACACACTAAGTAATAGAAACGTAACGCAGGGGGTATACACATAACTGTTATACTCCTGCAGCATAAATCACTTAAATAATAATGCAACTCTGCCTTATATAAAACATACTGGCAAAGGGCCTTCTCCCTCATACCCTCAACTGGGACATCGTGACAATACAGCAAACGTCCGCTTGTTGAGAGTGCTGGTTCGTTGAGGTGCGCTGGGTAAATCAGAGTTTGCTGCCATTTGAAAGGGATCAGCTCTCATTCTCCTCTGCACGAGTCCCAATATGTTGCACTGAAAATAGAATGATCAGAATTGTCTTTATTAGTGTACAACATGAGGTGAGGAGACCGTCCCTCTGCGCAACTCCCACCCCCACCCAGTGATGGGGAGTTTAGGGAAGTCATGCACCCGAAGACACCAGTACCTCCCCGGGCTGCCCCCCCTCGAGCGGGTGTAACCATCTGTATGGGCTGATTGATGTGGAGCTTTTCCTGCATCCCACCCTCCAGGTTTGCGAAGCTGCTCCTGCGACTCCCAGCCCTTCGATCGATTGGGCTCAAGTGTCTCGAGCACCTCTTCTTCTTCAAGCTGATTGGAGACACCCCCATCGACACCTTCCTCATGGAGATGCTGGAGGCCCCACACCAAATGACATGATTGAAAGCTCCGAGCTCCCTCACACGTTAAATCTGTAAATACTTTTCGCTAATTGTGTGAATAGAATTGATACATCATCCGTCTAACTTGTAAAACGACACATATTTTGTATCTTGAACAAGCACAGTACAGCAATTATTTGTTAGTTTGTACAGGGAATTTTAAAAGAGAAACACATCAGAAGAATTTTAGATTAAAGTTTTATTCAGCGAGGAATAAATCAGGTTTATAAATCAGGATCCAGAACATCTCTCACACCCTCCATCCTCATCTCCATTTGCTGGCTGCCTGTTTTTGCTGCGGTACTTCTCAAAAGGGACAGTTATCTGAGTGAATGCCCCTGTTACAGAGCCCTCGGTGTGCACAACTGGAAAGAAGGGGGAGCACACTGGGTGACTGCTTCCCTAATGCTCCTAACAGGCAAAGCACACATTTAGAATAGCTGAGCAGCAGGCTGATCCTACTGTATGAAATCTGTTGTAAAGGAAAGTGCCCCTCTTTATCAAATCCTAAAGTGGCCTTCAAGCATGAGTAGTACGTAAGTCTCTTTATTTACAAAATACATTAATCACGCAGGTCTGACTACTGCAGAGAAAAGAGATGTGGTGTTGAAGCTTTTCACCTTGTATCCATCAGGACCAAACACAAGAATGCCAAATCTGAAACAGTTTAGACAACACGAGAAGAGGGTGATGATTGGTTGTCAAGTGGGCTCTGGCACAGCGATGCCTACACCAATCAGAGCCCACTTGAGAACCAATCAGCACCCTCTTCTCATATAGTCTGAATTGTTATTCCCTTTCAGATTTGGTATTCTTGCAATTCTGTCCTGATCGGTGTAAATATAAGCTTTGACAATATTTGCCTGTTCTTTCAGTAATACTCCAGTTCTGTATTGCCAACTGACTCTTAGTTTGACTGTGCACATTCCACCTGATACTGTGACAAATGAACTCAAATTCAACGTGTCTCACTCTCTGGCAAATGACAAGCCTGATTTCAGGTTTAAGGATCAATATTTTGACCATTCCTTCAAATTTTACATTTCAGTATAATAGCTGTGGTCTTCATTCTCCTCCCATTGTGTCCTGAATGCAACATGGTCTGGTGGTAATACAGTGTCACAGGCCAACACAGATGGAATGAAGGGAAACATTCAAAGTGATGCTTTCACACAGCGTGTTATTAAAGCCAGTGAGGCAGACATTCAGTTCACAGGGAATCTCAAAAAGATTCAATGAGCAGGGATTATAGGGAGATGGGTAAAGAGTCAGAGACTGGGATTGGAAGAGATAATACGAGGTGAAGAGGTATGCCCAGCACAATGGATGGAACAGCTTCCTTCTAGAATCCATTTTATTCCATTTTGGGGATATTGGCATTGCTGGCAAGGCTGGCATTTATTACCCATCTTTAATTCCCCAAGATGCTAATGATACAACCCAGTGTCTTGCCAGAACACTTCAGCGGGCATTTGAGAGTAAAACACACTAGTTCAGGACTGGAGTATAAGGCAGTCTGGACAAGAACTAAAGCAGATTTCCTTCCCTAAAAGATGTTGGTGAACTGCTTGGATTTTTACGACGATCCCTCATGCTTCATGGTCACTTTTACTGATATTGACTATTATTAATTCCAGATTTCTTTTTAAACTGAATTCAGATTCACAAGGTGTGGTGTTGGGATTTGAACTCAGTTTCTCTGGATTGTTGATGTATTTCCCATTGTTGGTAAATAGAAGTGTCAAAGTAAACGCTAAGCTGTTTGAAATGCACTAAAAGAGAAAGCTGATTTGTAAGCTTCAAATTGTTTGGAATGATATTTTCATTTGCACTCTCTAAGATTCATCATATGTTTATGCAAATCATGGGATTTTGTTTTAAGCTTTCCAGTCTTATTTCCCGTTCAGCCATCTGAGGTCCACACTGTCTGGCACCCTTGCCTCAAGTCCAGTCGATCGCACCCACTGTATTGCTTCCGACATGTATAGCTGCCTATCCAGTTGTAGCATCCTTCCACCTAAAATGTACACTAGCACTGCGTGCTGCACTCCGCCCCAATTCCCCTCCTCTTCACCGCAGCCCCCCCCCCCCCAACCCCCACCCCCACCCCCACCCCCACCCCCACCCCCACCCCAACCCCCACCCCAACCCCCACGGTCATTGGCCAAGCCTTTATTTGCCCTGTCCCCCACCACCTGGCCCATTCAGAAACTCTCTCACACCCTGCTGCTCCCCCCTGCCAAACCCATTCCTCCCCCTCTTCAGAAATGTTATTCAAACCTACCTTGTGGATTGGGATTTCCTTTGTCATCCTCCTGCTGTTGCATCAGGGCTGCCCTCTCGCCCAACTCTAAGGCGTCTGGCATCTTAACCGGGCCGTGCTGTACAACTGCAGCTCCTTGGTGTTTTGCTCAGGTCCCCGTCATTTGCACGAGTTGGTATTTTCAAAGTGAGCTAGCCTGCCTCAGGGCCGGTACGGCCACACCTGATGTCCCTCATCACTCCCAATGTTCCTGCATGCATACTTCCAGCTTGGATTGTGATCAGGACTACGAACGCTTAAGGGGCATCTGTCACTTCCCCCTGCTGCCACTCCAACTCTCCAGAAACCAAGGGGAACAGATTAGAATCCTTCCAAAGTGGCAGGTGACCAGGCACTGGATGAGGAGAGGGATTTGGGAACGCAGGTATATGACTCACTTAGGGTGAATGCAGAGGGAGAAAACTCAGTATAGAGTCAATGTTGATCTTTATGACAGGCATTGGAGCACACACAGTGGAAATGGTGCTTCCATTGTACAGTGTGTCAGTTAGATCCCATCTGGAGTTCACCATTTAGCTGCAGGCACTGCACCTCAGGTTTTTAGAAATTTATTCGCAGGATGTGGACACCACTGGCTAGGCCAGCATTTATTGCCCATCCCTAATTGCCCAGAGGGCAGTTAAGAGTCAACCACATTGCTGTGGGTCTGGAGTCATCCAGGTAGAGATGGCAGATCCCTTCCCTAAAGGACATTAGTGAACCAGATGGGATTTTCCCAACATTCAATTTGTGGTCATCATTAGACTCTTAATTCCAGATTTTTATTGAATTCAAATTCCACCATCTGTTGTGGCAGCATTCGAACCCAGAACATTACCTAGGTCTCTGGATTGACAGTCCAGTAATAATTCCATTAGGCCGTCACCTCCCTTACGTAGACGACGATAGAATGATGTTAAGGACGATGACAGATTGTGTACATTTGGTTAGTGTTTCCTTGCATTCAGAGTGTTGAGGGTTCATACAGAAAGAGATATTTGAAAGAATCGGGCAGGGCAGTTTAGATAAATGGGAGCTATTTCCTCTGACAGCAGAACCCATGAAGGGAGCAGAACCCATGAAGGGAGCAGAACCAGAACCTCCTGTTGACAGCTGGGCCACTCAGGGGGGATGCCAGGAGGAACTTTTGTCGTTACACAGAGGGCAGTGGAATTCTGGGACTCTCTGCCTTGAAAGCTGTCCATCCTGTCATTCAATTCGCATTTTCAAGACTGGCATCAAACAATTATCAAGTCAGAAAGTTGTGGATCAAAGGCAGGTAAATGAAACTAAAGCCCCTGTCATTTGTGGTGTAACTAAGTGGTAATGCAGGCTTTAAAAGGCCTTCCCAACCAGTCTGTTTTGACTCTATTTTATATCAGGAGTTGTATTTGGACAGTAAACCCAAGCTTATTTTAACAAGAAGTGGATTGGGACCCAGTTTAAGGTTAGAATGCAGTCGTTCATAGCGAGAGGAGAAAAGTTTGGAAATTGTCTCATCTAAAGGAAGTTCAGTTAGAATTCCAGTGGGATCAGCTCACTTTCCTATACTGTTCCCAGTGTTACAACTTCTCAAGGAGTGAGAGAAGTGGGATTGAGTCAGTGTGCGTCTCCATCCAGTGTCAGAGGCATCCTGTATATCCCAGCCCTCCCGGCTGCTCCCCTCCCTCCCCCCAACCCCCGTATGATGAATTGTTCTTCAGTTACAGACTCTCATCGCGAGCATCAGCAGTCCCTCCGATTCCTCCCCGCAGAGTGGCCTTTCCTCCCTACTTGAGCTCAGGCAGCAGGGCTATTCAACCACAGGAAACCTCATTTACCCACTACAGACAGCTGGCCCGTTCTTCAAAGCTGTGTAATTGGCTGCCCCATTACTGACACAGAGACTGCCCTTACTGACGAGGTGCAGCTCCTCATCGTACATCACCTACACGGTCATAACCAACTCACTGCAGCAGCACCACCTGGGTTTGGGGGGGTGAGGGGGAGAGGAGGGGAGACTCCACATGTATGCCTCAAAATTTATTTTTTAGTAATTGTGCTATTGGTCTTTAAACTACATTGCCTGTATATTATATATATATATTTTATATATATATATAAAATAATGTATACATATATAGTGTCTAGTTTAATTCCCAGTAATTCTTTTAGAGAATCTTTCTCCACAGAGAACTTATTGCACCAGTTCCAAGATGATGTGTAACTTTGGGTCTCACATTGGTATCATCTGTTATTCTCATTTGTCCACGGTCAGCAGGAGATACTCAGAATTTTATTGTTTAAGAAATAAACAATGCACTGTATATGTGTGTATGTATATACATTATGTATTGTATGCATATATAGACACATGCAGATGTGTGTGTGTGTATATGTAGAGGGAGAGAGAAGGGACTCAGCAGGCAGTAGAGACACTTGTTCAGTGGAGCACAGGTACAGATTGTGGAGTCTGCCCATCTCCCACACCCTCCACTGCCTTCAGAAACTGGCCCAGTGTATTCTGTACTGTCATTGTGCAGGTCATCACAAGAAATGCACACACACACGCGCGCACGCACACGCACACACACACACACACCCCTTCACAGCTGAACAAATGTTTATATTTTTATACTGTACAAATCAGAGATAAGGCTGGTCACACCATAACCTTCTGTCACAAAGTGCGCGTTTGGAGGAGTGTATTCTGTCGCTGTTTGTCTTTGAACTGTTCTGCAGCACCTTTTGCAGCTTTGCTATAACCCTCCTTTGGCAACAACAAGAAGTGCTAACTCTTCAATCTGTAACTGTTTTCTCTGTAAATACACTGTTTCAATTCTGGCTTAGCGGTGTGCTGTGTAATTGTACAGTTTTCTGTATCACTGACAGGAGTTCCTTGCTGAGTTACTGTGGGTGGAATTGTATAGAGTTATACAGGACAGCTTTTGACCATTTTAGTGTTGTATCTAACCTCTCAGGGCACCATTTCATTTCCTTTCCCCATCGTGTTCCTCTCTCTTTCCCCTCAACTACGTCTACGGTTTCCTGTGAATTCTTCACTGGGTTTTATTAGTGTCTGTTAGTTATGGTATCCGGGTTTGAACAACTCACAAGGTTCACTCACTGTGTGCAAACCGTGACTGCTTATTCAGCAGAGTAAGGGCTGTTCACTAATTATAAATCACACTTGCCCAACATTTATTTACACATGGTCGGGCTGCAGTTTATTTTGGTGTCCTTCGGGGTGGGTGGTGAGCGGTGAGCAAATTTCAGAAGGAAGTCTGGCACAGAGTAAAGATGAATTTCAGGAAAACATTCCAAAATAAAAACTCTTAATAACCAATAAAATTGGCAACAGAGCTAAAGAGAGAGTGTGACTTTCCCACCAGTTCTTATCACTAATGAAGGGGACAAGAGCTAAGGCACCACGTCTTGTGTCGTTGAGTCACCTCATTAAGGGAGTGGTTGAGAAGGAGAGTCCTTCAATGGTAACCTCAGCTGGTGATGGGAATCGAATCCACACTGTTGGGTTCTGCATCGCAAACTAACCATCTAGCCAACCGAGCTAAGCCAACCCCTGGCTATGGCTTTAATACTGATCACGGTCTGCCATTGATGGAACACACTGAGTTGGTAGATGGTGTGGGTGGGGGTTGGGGTATGAAGTGGAGAAAGAGGGGTGGTGGGTGTATCCAGCTTTCACTCACTCTCAATCACTGTCACTCACACCCCCTCCCCAAGACCCAATTCTGACAGTACTACCCCCACACGCCCAGCTAACAGCCACACTGCCCAGACTTGAAGGTACAGCATTGTGGGCTGTGGGTCACCTGTTATTCAGCAGGTTAAGCATAACTTACTGTGACTACAAAGTTATGTATTCACGAGGGTAAGGGTTCTTTACTAAGTGCACAGACTTATTTATTCAGCTTAGCAACAGAGAGGGGAAGCAGGATTGTGGGTGAGAGAGGATTTACAGAATGGCATTGGCAGGGGAGTACTTCACAATTTGCCTGGCCTCAGCGGGGTTCTGTGGCTGAACTTTGGTCTGGTATCAAAACACTGATTAGTAACCAGAGAGGGCAGCACTGGGCTTGGGATCCTGAATGAATGGAAATGTGGAAAACCTTTAATATTTCATACTGTTGGCAAGTCACAGTGGTTTGCTAAACTCCTGAAACAATTATAACATGCAGGGCAGGTTACATCCTGTGTATCCTTCATTAGTTGGATGGCAATGGTGTGCAGGAATATGGAGAGAAGGCAGGTGCGTCACACTAGGTAATAGAGCTAGTACAGGCACAAGGGGCTGAATGGCCTCCTGCACCATAACTATTCTGTGATTCTGTTCAACAAGGCTGCCTAAAGGTGAAGCTGTGGAAAGGGAGCAGTCTGTAGGTGCTTTTTCATTTTCTGAAGAAGGGTCTAGGCCCGAAACGTCAGCTTTCCTGCTCCTCTGATGCTGCTTGGCCTGCTGTGTTCATCCACCTCTACACCTTGTTATCTCGGTCTGTCGGTGCTGACTGCCGCATGGTGCCTCACTCCAGTGGCCATTCTTGATCGATCATTTTGGCAGCGGAGCACTGGTGGACTATTTGACTATAGTTTGCGTCACATTTGACGTGCATTCGTTCAATATCCAGAAACGTGCCCTTTTCCCACTAAGCTCAGTCCTAGGTGATGGGGGGTGGGGGCAGGGGAAAGAGGTGGGAAACAGATTGGAATCAAACACAGGAAACATTTGCCCCCCCCACAGGGGGCACCGCCAGCCCAGCTTGGTGCTGTTTGTGGTTGAATGGCCATTGCCTGTGACGTGTAGCCACAAGATGGGGAGGGAATAAGCAACAAGGTTGTCGAAAGTTTAAAACCAGAGCAGCTACTGCGCCCCACATTGTGGTTTAGCTCGGTGGGGTTTGGGGAGTGGGTGTGTGTTGGCAGCTGTTGTTCACTAGTCTGACATTGTGCTCCTGGGTGAGGACGCCATCATGAGTCCAGCTCGATGACACACTCGTACCAGGCTTCAGGCCCATGGCTGACGGAGGAAGGGCCGAGCACGGTGAAACCGGCCTTGGCATAGAGGGGCAGCAGCTGCTGGTGGCTAAGGAGGCAGATCCTCCTTGGAGCGGGCAGGGTGTGCACCGTACGTACCACGTAATCCCGAAGCAGGCCCAGCGCCACCCCTTGGCGTCGCCACGCGCTGTCCACACACACGGAGTGAATGCAGACGGTGGTACCTGTGGGTTCGTGGACGACCATGGACCTCTCTGTTAGGTGGTCCTCGAGTGAGCGGGTCCCACAGACAAACCCAATCAATTTTCCATCGACAAAATGCCCTGGGAAAGAGATCAGAGAAATTGCGAATAGGCTTGATTTCCTGCACTTCCCTAATGGTGAATGGGCTTGACCTTGCACGTTGCAGAGTCTTTATACACAATACGTTGAACGTTCAGCACAGAAACAGGCCATTCAGTCCATACTTGCTCCATTTGAGCCTTACCTCATCTCATCCCATCAATATAGCTTATGACAGGTTCACTCTCACAAAACTGGCAGTCTGATATTCTTACAATGAGTTGTGGTTTGTATTTTTCTCCTTTTATAAGGTCCACTCAATTAGAATGAATTTAGCTGGATAAGTGAATGAGGTGCTGCATGGCAGTGGACTGGTTATCTGTGTGGTCACTTGAACACCATACTATTCCTGTCCTCCGAATGACCGTTACCAACCTAGATGGGCCACAGCAGTTGGCCCAAACATTGGTATGACCTCAGTCGCCAGATTTGGAGGGTGGGGGCAAGGTCTGTAGTCATCGTCCTTTCTCCCTCCCGTACTTGTCCAGCTTCCCCTTATATCATCAAGATTCTGCCTCAACTACTCCTTCTACCAGCAAGTTCCACATTCTGGATAAAAGAGTTTCTCCTGATTTCCATTGTGGATCCGTCACAGACAATTATTTTTGACTCCTAACTCTGAAGTCCTCACAAGTCACTAAACTATTCAGCCCTGAGCTTCCCTTCCTCACCTCTCCGGAGTTTGTTTATTTTACTTGGGGGATGGTGTGGGACATTCCTGTACTTGCAATAGGAGAAGGCTCGTGATCCTGTTCCGCCACGCAGTCAGATGAAGACTGATCTGTATTTTAGCTCCAATTAACTGACTTTTCTCTAAATCCCTTAATTATCTACCAATCTCAGTCTTGAAATCTCCCCCAGGACACCAAACATCAATCAATTTTTGGGAGAGATAGTTCCAGATTACCAATGCCCTTTGTGTGAAAAATTGCGTCCTGAATGACCGTGCACTAATTTTAAGGGAATCCATGCCTTGTTCTGGACACCCACCCGTCCCCGTCCCCGTCCCCGTCCCCACCAACAGAGAATACAGTTCATCTCTAACTACCCTTTCAAAGCATCTCAAATACTTAAAGGAGGTTACCTTTAATTGTTGAATCCCAGTCTTGCCTTATAGGCAGTGGAGATTGTGGATTTGGAAGGTGCTATCAAACAGAATACAGGCACAGGGGGTGCAAAAAAGATTTACAAAGATGTTACCGAGACTTGGGGCGGGTGTGGGGGTGCGTTTAGATTGTAAGGAGAGGCTGGATAGGCTGGGACTTTTTCGCTGGAGCATAGGAGGCTGAGAGGTGACCTTCTAGAAGTTTATAAAATCATGAAGGGAATGGGTACAGTGAATAGGCAAGGTTTTTTTCCCCAGGGTAGGTGAGAGTGGAAAGATTTTAAAGGGACCGAAGGGGCAACTTTTTCACACAGAGGGTGGTGCGTGAATGGAACGAGCTGCCAGAGGAGGAGGTGGAGCCGGGTACAATTACAACATTTAAAAGACATTCGGACAGGTACATGGATAGGAAGGGTTTAGAGGGATATGGGCCAAACGCAGGCAAAAGGGACTAGATTAATTTAGGAAACCAGGGTCGGCATGGACAAGTTGGGCTGAAAGGTCTGTTTCCTTGCTGTTACCTAGTGCATTCTCCATAGCAATACTTCAACCAGAATCAACTTGTTAAATAATCAGCACCCTTTTTTCATGCAGTACAGCTGTTCCCCTTTCACCATTCCTTGGTCTCTACTGAATCCTGGAAGATCAAACCAAATGTCTCTTTCCTTCAGCAGTAGTCCGGTCATTATCCAATTCCTGTTGGAAAGCCATGACTAACTCTGCCCCCCACCACTCCAGTAAAATCACCCAAAATGATCTATTTTTGGATGCGGTTCCTAACAGAAAGATCTCGAACTCTGCTTCCAGTCTACCATTTTGGCCACCCGGTCCAATGAGGGGTAGCATTGGGCAGAGAAAGGGAACAGAGAGCTATACGATGGCCAAGCACATAAAGATTAAAAAGGTAGAAATAAACCTTGGGCTGTTCTCTCCATGTCAAAAGTGAGATCACTTTATTACTGTTAGGCGCCTTATCACATGATACAAAGTACGATTAAAGTTCAAGATTAAGAACACTAAGGCTAGGAAGGACCTAGTTCCTTTAGCAGAGGCTGTCAGGGAAGCGTAGATTGAAAGTGATTAGTAAAAGAATTAAATAAGAGGTTTGTTAAAAAGATTTTTCCCGAGAGGGAGGTTGAAGCTTGGAACTCACTACCTGAAAGGGTTGTAGAAGTCGGAAGTCGAGACCGTCAACCTGTCTAAAGGTGGCTGGGTACGTATGGGAATTGCCAGGGACACTGACAGACGAAGTGCTGCAAAACGGGTTAGTCTAAATGATTGGAGTTTCTCGACTGCCGCAGATACGATGGGCATACAGGCCTCCCCCTGTGCTGTGAAGTTGTCTACCTTTTCTGAACATCATTATCCCCTGAAGAAGGGAATGTGGGGAGAGGACCAGAACAAACACGATGGGCTCAATGACCGCCTACGGGTCCTATCAGATTTGAAGATAGACGATGAGTGCAGCAGATGTGATGTGCTGCCACACAGCGTGTGTTGTAGGTGACTTGAGTTCCTGATATAGTCACTGAGCTGAGAATACACTGCAGCCAGCTCTTACCCAAGAACAGCTCGCTAGCCTCCCTCTGCCGGTACTGCAGCTCCGCCAGGCTGGCTGCCTCCTCCGGGGGGTAGCCCGCTACCTCCAGAGCCCAGGCTGCAGCCACATCCCCCTCCGACAGGGTCCTCAGCTCTCCCACTGCTCCCTGCATCTTGCTGCAGGCTCCCACCGGTTTTGTCAATGCCCACTTCCTCAAAGTGCCCTTCTGGAAAGGGGGGTGGGGGGGCGGAGATACAGGCGTTCGGGCGACGGGATTGGTCCAGCCGAATAGGGGGTGTGGGGTGGGGGCGGCAGTGGGCGTGACTGGTTCTCTGGGGGCGGGATCAGCAGGTTATGGGCGTGGCTGGTGCTCCGGGGACGGGGGTCCATGTGGCTGTGGGCGGGGGTCAGAGGCTTGGCCCCACCCCGCCCCGCCCCACCCCACCCCACCCCACCCCACCCCACTGATCTCTCTATTCACTAGCCACCTTGCAGATATTATCTAACCTCTGTTGGAGATGATGTGAATGTGCCAGTGTTGGACCGGGGTGGACAAGGTCAGAGTTCACACAACACCAGGTTATAGTCCAACACGTTTTTATCTGAAAACGCAAGCTTTTGGAATCTCTCCTTCAGGTGTCAGTGAGAGAGGTGACATCGGACGCAGAATTTATTAAGCACAAAGATCGAAGGGTCATAGAACTGGTGCGAATGTATTGAACAAACCTAAAATAGCTGCGACTCTGTGTTGTGTATCCCAAAGTCCGCCTTGGAGGACATTTACCCGAAGATCCGAAGCCGAATGTCCTTGATCACTGAAGTGTTTCCCCCACTAGAAGGGAACATCCCTGCCTGGCGATTGCTGCGTGGTGTCCATTCATCCGTTGTCGTAGCATCTGCATGGTTTCACCCATATACCATGTCAGAGATGTCATTACACACCTGTACAGCAGGTGGAACTTGAACCCAGGTTCTCCTGATTCAGAGATCGGAGCACTACCACTGCACCACAAGAGCTCTAATTGCACTCCCTCTACAGTCACTTCGGTTGTACCATTGAAATCTGTTCATAAATTTCTGGACGGTGTTACTTAAAAATGTACAGATTTGACTTTAATAAAGAGGTGTTGAGGGAATCCAATTATCCAGGAGGCAACATCCCCAAAGTATGAGCAGTGGGTGCTCAATCTGTGGAGTCATCAGCATGGAAAGTTTTACCTAAAGACATAACAGAAACTTCCTACTAACCTCAGCAGATGAATCCATACCTCACTCTATAGGAAGAAGCAATGAGCATGGCAAAGGCACACAATGTGATGGGGAACTCCAATCTCCACCTCACAATGGCTCAGTATCACCACCACTGGATAAGTGAAGGGCATAGTTTCAAAGCTTGCAGAAGGTAATGAGGGAATCAAGAGGAAACAGAACTTGCCTTCACCTATCTGACCGTCACAAATACAAATCCCCATAACAGAATCATACTCCATTGCACTGCACATCCCCCAGTCTACTGTTACTATCAAGCCAGGCAATTAATCCTGGTTCAATATTAAGTGTATGAGGACATACCAGGAGCACCTCCAAGCATAGTTAAAGAGGAAATACCAACCTGGTAAAAGCCCAGTGCATCAGTGTAAAAGACAAGACTGAAGCATCTGCAACTGCCTTCAGTCAGGAATGACAAGTGGAGGATCCAGCTCAGATGTAAATGTCAGCTAAGGAGGCCCTGTAGTATTGGAAGGACCATCTATGTTGATCATCTTTGGAAATAGCTCTTAATGCCCTTGCTGCCAGCACAGGCATGTTGACACATTCTCAATCTGTCCGTCTTTCCAGTAAGCACCGCTTGACATCTGTTACACACTCTAACAAGTCCCCTACTGGCTCACTGCTTTCACAAGGGTTTCTTTCTGTTTACAATTATGACAGCATTATTCAGACTTTGTATTCTTAGAGGCAAAGGCACACAATGTATTTTACTCTTGCCCATCAAGAGTAAACTTGGGCCAAAACCATTTTCTCGACATACAACGAACGAAGAGAAGCTTAATGGAGCACACACTTGAATTGCTGTTATGTGCTCCACTGGGTGAGAGTTC